ATTCATATGTCAGCATTATAAAAACAACATTCATATGTCAGCATTATAAAAACAACATTCATATGTCAGCTTCATAAAAACAACACTCATATGTCAGCTCCATAAAAACAACATTCATATGTCAGCTTCATAAAAACAACACTCATATGTCAGCTTCATAAAAACAACATTCATATGTCAGCTTCATAAAAACAACATTCATATGTCAGCTTCATAAAAACAACACTCATATGTCAGCTCCATAAAAACAACATTCATATGTCAGCTCCATAAAAACAACATTCATATGTTAGCTCCATAAAAACAACATTCATATGTCAGCTTCATAAAAACAACATTCATATATCAGCTTCATAAAAACAACACTCATATGTCAGCTTCATAAAAACAACATTGATATGTCAACTTCATAAAAACAACATTCATATGTCAGCTTCATAAAAACAACATTCATATGTCAGCTTCATAAAAACAACACTCATATGTCAGCTCCATAAAAACAACATTCATATGTCAGCTTCATAAAAACAACACTCATATGTCAGCTTCATAAAAACAACACTCATATTTCAGCATTATGAAAACAACATTCATATATCAGCTTCATACAAACAACATTGATATGTCAGCTTCATAAAAACAACTCATATTTCACCATAATGAAAACAACATTCATATGTCAGCTCCATAAAAACAACACTCATATGTCAGCTTCATATAAACAACACTCATATTTCAGCATTATGAAAACAACATTCATATGTCAGCTTCATAAAAACAACTCAAATTTCACCATAATGAAAACAACACTCATATGTCAGCTTCATAAAAACAACATTCATATGTCAGCTTCATAAAAACAACACTCATATTTCAGCATTATGAAAACAACATTCATATGTCAGCTTCATAAAAACAACTCATATTTCACCATAATGAAAACAACATTCATATGTCAGCTCCATAAAAACAACATTCATATGTCAGCTTCATAAAAACAACATTCATGTCAGCTTCATAAAAACAACATTCATATGTCAGCTTCATTAAAACAACATTCATATGTCAGCTTCATTAAAAACAACACTCATATTTCACCATAATGAAAACAACATTCATATGTCAGCTTCATACAAACAACATTCATATATCAGCTTCATACAAACAACATTCATATGTCAGCTTCATACAAACAACATTCATATGTCAGCTTCATAAAAACAACGTTCATATATCAGCTTCATAAAAACAACGTTCATATGTCAGCTTCATAAAAACAACATTCATATGTCAGCTTCATATAAACAACACTCATATTTCAGCAATATGAAAACAACATTCATATGTCAGCTTTATAAAACCATCATGTGCAGGTAAAAGTGCAGGATGTTTTTTGTAATTTTTTGCAGATCCAAATTAGTAGATACGTGGATGGAATACACTATAGAGAAACTTTTTAGTTGGCTGGCACATCTGATGCAGATCATCTGGATGTAAGGAAGGCTTTCAGGGTTGACGAGGATTCCATTGTACAGGAAAGAAATGTTCGCACAAATAATGAGTTCCTTTGAAGCTTGAAAGTGGATTGTTTTGGCTTGTAGAGTGTTCGTGTATTTCTGTTGGTTCTGTCATCAGGAAAATCATTCAACACTAGGGTTCCACTTGACCTATAGTACCATTCCAACTTTTTGAGGAGAGTGTTCTGTGGGCAGTTTAGGAGGGAGTTTGGTTTCTGTGCCGATTTAGCACCGTTCTTCCCATTTGGGAACCTGCTGGAGAGTGGCTTCAAGAAGAGTCTTCACAAATTGTACCCATGTAGAGAAGTAAACCAGGGTCTTTAATAAGCCAGTGGCGACAGTCTCGATGTTTGTAACTGTGTCTATGTCTATGTCTAATGAGGGGGGCACGGGTGGCAATGGCAGCGATTCCCTGTGCAGAGTTGAGTTCCTTGGGCACGCCAGAAACCTATGATTGCGGGTTCGAATCCCGGTTTGCACCGATTATGTTTCTAGGTTTGTCAGCACCATACCATGCTCATGGGTTTCACCAAAGTGGTAAACGTCTGAGACCTGCATCACTTTGAGCTTTCCTCCCATGTTAGGCTGACATGCCGTGATATAACTGGAATACTGTTAAAAGCGGCGTTAAACCCAACTCACTCACTCTCTATGTGAAATGACTGTTGTGAGCTTTCTGATTTACTAGGAGTTGGGTTGTCAGGCTCTGTGGCTTGGCTGAATGCCTGTCATTGTACCCTGTGGTATGGGTCATTGTACCCTGTGGTATGGGTCATTGTACCCTGTGGTATGGGTCATGCCATTGTACCCTGTGGTATGGGTCATGTCATTGTACCCTGTGGTATGGATCATTGTACCCTGTGGTATTGGTCATTGTACCTTGTATGGATCATTGTACCCTGTGGCATGGATCATTGTACCCTGTGGTATGGGTCATGCCATTGTACCCTGTGGTATGGGTCATGCCATTGTACCCTGTGGTATGGATCATTGTACCCTGTGGTATGGGTCATGCCATTGTACCCTGTGGTATGGATCATGTTTTTGTACCCTGTGGGATGGATCATGCCATTGTACCCTGTGGGGTGGATCATGCCATTGTACCCTGTGGTATGGATCATGCCATTGTACCCTGTGGTATGGATCATGCCATTGTACCCTGTGGGATGGATCATACCATTGTACCCTGTGGGATGGATCATGCCATTGTACCCTGTGGTATGGATCATGCCATTTTACCCTGTTGGATGGATCATGCCATTGTACCCTGTGATATGGATCAGTTCTCATGCTTTCAATCACTGGTTTGCCTGGTCCAGACAGATATTTATAGGCTGCTGTGATTTATCTGAAATAATGCTGACTGGCATTTCACAACTTCCACTCAATCACATGTTAAGTTGTTGGAAGTGCTATTAGAGGCTACTCACTAAGTTGGGTGTTGCAGTGTTCATTGGAGCGTGTGAGTTAAGTGTCTGTAATGAGATTGTGTATGGTTGGAAGGAACAGCACTGGGCAGTGATTAAGTCGATGGAGGGGACTCCAGCTAATCAATAGTATAGGTATAAGATAGAGCAGTAAGGAATGCCCTTGCCACTAGTTTAGTTCCAGTCTACCTGCTTCAAGTGCCAACAGTAGCTTAACACTGACATGCACACCTGTGATTTTTCTCACCTGTAAAACAAGGAGGAGATTATCTCCTCATCTACTTTACATCGCTTCAGCAGGTACAAGGACTCTCACTTATGATAATATCCTGCCCATTACCGACTCCCAACAGCCCCTCACCCAGATTAACCATTATGTTCAGGTATCTCGAACACATGGAGAGGCCATGACAGCCTTTCACTCGCCTGCCAGTAAATGGATTTAGGGAGAGCGTTTGTGTTGGGGCTTGGTCCTCAGCCAGCGTGATGCCAGGCAGACAATGATGTAAGCTAGAGAATTCTGAGGATGTTACGTCAGCGTGGTCAGCCTTGGCAGCCTTGTCCAGTGTTCACCTGAGTATACAGACCATGTAATGTCCTGTTAGAGCAGAGCAGTTAGGTGTGGGGAATTAAGCAGGCATATTGAGCTGATTGGTGTTATGCTGGTGCACATGGTTGGCTGATTATAATGGGGACAGGTTGAGTGTTATTGTAAGTTGGGCTGCTCGTTGATGTATTAGTGAGGTATTGTAGGTTTGTCCCTTGAGGTTGTATTTTATTTCATCTGATCTTGTCATGAATAATTGCCCATCCGGTGCTGAAGATGACATGGGTATGAGTCAAGTCATCTTTTACTGTCAAGTTATTCCCTCTAGTAAACCAGAGATAAAAATCAAAATCAAAGCCTCCATAGCCAAAAGATGGCAAGCCCAGTGGGACGCAAGTATGATCGGCAGAAGGTTATACAAAATTCTACCCAAGATCCACCAAAAGCCAAACTCTTACTCAAATGAGATGAAAGTTGAAATTTCCATCTCACGCCTCAGACTAGGTCACAAATAGCACTATGACAAGGTTTGTCCATCTTGCAATCAACCTGAATCCATTGCTCACTTGTTACTGGAATGTCAAGACCACGCCCCAGCCCGGGCTCGGTTTAAACAAGAATTACAGTTAGACCCGCTATCTGTCATAGATCTCCTAAAGCCAAGAGATGCAATAGCGAAGGCCAAACTAACCTTATTTCTGAGAGATGGACAGCTACTCGAACGTATATAAACAGAACAGCCAAAGATAAAAATGAAAAAATATATCAATATATGGAAATAGAAATCATATCAATACAAAAACAGAAATTCTGTGAATACCAAACTCGCAATAGATACGTGTACCCTACTCACACACGAGTCCCAAAGAGGGACAGGTCAGCCGAAATTGTTAAGGCAGAAGTCGACCTCTTAAACACTTAAAGCAACAACAACTGTCAAGTTAGGTTCTGCAGGGCCACACAAACTGAAATAGCCATAAACATTGTCTCTCAGTGGAGGATATAAGCTGAGATATTCTAATGCCAACACCACCAATCACACCATATCTATCTCTTAAATAAGATGATCATCAAAACAACTACTCACCAACTCATAGAATTACAACAAGGCATTCCCTAATGAAGTCAAAATTAAACGGTAGGATATAAAACACCCAATCTTCTTATTCCAGACAATACCACTTCCCATGAAATAACCTCAGCAGGACCTTTATCCTAGTGTTACTGCTCTAGATCCATATTATTCCCATTCTTCCCATATGATGTAATTTTTTGTCATCTTATCAATATTTTCAAGGTGTGCCCAGAGTGCATAATTTGTTCCACAGGAAGCATTCGTAAAATCTCCAACATTAACATCATCTTCATCCTTGCTGATGTTGCTGTTATACTTCTGGAGTTGTGACCAAAGTCATAGGATGCATGCCGTGATGTAACTGAAATACTGCTCAAGGCGGTGTTAAACCGAATTTACAGCACTGTCTCTACCTATTTGTTGCTTTGTTACAGGTGGGAGTCAGTATGGAGGCTACAGCGGCGGCAGTAGTGGAGGTGGTGGACGAAGGTCAGTATGAAAAGGGAAGTGGGTTGCACTTTTGTGAGCAGCATTTGAAACAATGTTTATTGCGAATACATCCGTCCTTTCGGTTATTTTTCGAAGAAGAAAAAACAGTTTTCCTCCTGTTTCACCCTTTTCTTTCATATTACTATAGATTAACTGAGTAGTGTATATTTTAAGAGGATGTAACTTCATGGTTCCTCCAGAATCGGGCACACGAGTGGCGATATTCGCTGTGCAGAGTTGCGTCCCTTGGGCACGCCAGAAACCTATGATTGTGGCTTCCAATCCTGGTTCGCCCCGATTATGTGTCTAGGTTTGTCAGCACCATACCAGTGCTCGCGGGTTTCACCGAAGTGGTAAACGTCTGAGACCTGCATCTCTTCGGGCTTTCCTCCCACATTAAGCTGACACGCCGTGATATAACTGGAATACTGTTTAAAGCGGCGTAAAACCCAACTCACTCACTCACTTATGGATACTTATGGACTCTTTGCCATCCTTGACTTGTATGTAATGATCAACAGTACTTCAAGCTGACAAGATCCGTCTTCCCGAGGCAAGAGTTAACTGACTATAAAAGTCCAGTCTCCACACTTGCCAAACTAGGCTGGAATTCTTGGACACAGTCGTAGCACCACCAGTGGCTGTTATGAGTGATGTCCCTTCTAAGCCTCTCCTGTGGACCAATCAGATGCCACCTCTCATATCACTGGCATTTGCTTCAAACCAAATGGTGGCGCCAGGTCAGGACGATCTGATCGATAATCAGTATCTATATTGTGATAAAACATCGCGAAGTGCATCAAATCACCTGAGTACCTTGATAAAAAACATGAAAAGATTTGGAAAATATCTGTTGACAACGAGTTGGTGGTGCACATGCATGACAGATTACAAACTGGATTTTGAACTGGATTATGTATAGACTCATTAGTCCAGCCAAAATGTCACTCCATAATACAAGCCTAGTTCGGCATGAGTGGAAACTGGACTTTTAAAGGCAGGAAACTGGACTTTTAAAGGCAGTTAACTCTCTTGCCTCGGAAAGATGACAAGATTTCACTCTGCAACTCTAGTTTTCCAATTCTTATTCAGATATGTTTACTAAGATCTGTACCTCTGTGTCTCTCCTCCAGAGGAATTTAATTATTTCTTGAGATGCCAGGCTCTGTCAAGACATAGATTTTTGTATTTTTGTGTTGGCTATAAGCTCATCAGAAGAACCTTTTGAGATTTATTAATGAAATATTTAAAATGTCATCTTGTCACATATCTATAATGAATGTGTTAGTATTACTCTTGTACTCTGTGACCCCCTCCCCCCGAGGGTTTGGTGAGAATAAACTGTTCAACATACAGTGTAATTAAAATAGAAAGTAAACATAGAAAGTATGATGGGGCTAACAGATCCTGGTAGATAAAACTAGGGTAATACATGGAATCATCCCATCCTCGTCAGTCAGCTGCTGAATGAACCACGACACGGGCATATGTTTCTGTCAGTCCTCTCATCATATGATAGTCTTAAAGAGGAAATAAGCACATGGACTAATGCACTGACAGAGAGCGTGATACCCCAACCAGCTTTATATTTGTGTGACTACGGCCCGCCACGGATCACGTCAAGCTTACCGCTGCCGTTTAAATGAGATTGATTTGATTTTCATGTGAAGCCTGTCATCATAGAGGGTCTTAATGACAATGAGATGATTGCGGTGTTGCTGTTGATTAGGGTTCCTCCCGGCAGGGAGCCAAGCGCTGGTCAAGCGGCCACTCAATGGCCAGCAGCTTCAATCTTGGCCACAATTTGAACCTTGTAATTTGTCTGATGTTGTGGTCCATAATGAAATTGACCAGTAGTTTTTGTTGTAAATTTGTCCTGGGGTGTTGGAATTAATTGTAGTATGGTTGTATGATGAACTGATAATTTGTTCCAGTTTTTGAATTTAATAAGGATAAATTTTCCTATGCGTCCTCTGGAATGTGATTTTCAAAATCCAACGGTCCCCTTTGTGAGAGTTCGGAATGAGTGTTGTCAGTCATGGTAGACACTGAAGGGTAGTTATTAGTGAGGCTTATTTGTAACTGTATTCCATGGGTGTGTGTTTTGGAAGAGGTAACAAATTAATTGAATATGAGTTATTTGAGATGTCTATCTGTGATGGAGTATTGCGTGAGGTGCAGTAGATGATGGTGTGTGATGTGTGCGGAGCTGCCGATGTGGAGACGGCGTCTTGGTCGCAGGCTGAGCTGAGAAGCTGAAGCAGCTATCACTATCTGTTTCAGTGGTTTGGAGAGGGCATGATGAGATTGCCAGCTCTCACGGCTAGGCTTCATGTCGGCTGAGAGGGTTTGAGGTGCGTTTAGAACCTCCTCCCACCCTCTCACCTGCCCTTGTGTCTTACGCCATCTAAATGACATACGCAATGGCCATGAGGATGCCGGCCATTCTCGTCGACTCCTCTTGTTAAGCAGATGTCAAGATGGCTACTTTGTGAAACAATGGCGGAGGAAGTGATGGTCTGTAGCTTGTGTATACGATACAGATGATTGACTGGTCCGCACGAACACTGCAGATGTTGACATTCTCATTATTCCCTCAGATTGTCCCCCACCCCAATTGACCTCCACCCCCTACTGACAGAACGATTGACCCCACCTCTGGCCATTCGTGCCCTGCCCCCTGCTGGGGTCCTGTCGCTGAGCAATCTTTGTACCCTCCCTCTCGAGAGCGGTGTTTAACAAGCAGTATTGTCCTAGGTCAAATCGCTTGTCCCGGCTTTGAGGGCCTGGATTGTCCGGCCCCTCTATGCCGTCCCCACGAGTGGGGGTCAGGCAATGACCCGCCCAGCGACACGGAAAACAGCTTTCCTGGCGTAATTGTTGTTGTCCCTAATCAGCGTCACACCTGTGACCATCAATGGCTCGCACCTTTCTTCTAATGGGCCTGACACTGACAAGACAAGTCTTGACTCTCATCGCCGGCCCTTTCACACCAGCCATCCTCCTCCTAGCTTGGGAGGCTGACAATGTACAACATATGTAAAGATGGTGGTTGGATCCTTGTTGCTTCTTGACTTATTCACAACAACTGTTTGAAAAAGACTAGTAGTGTTCTCCCAGGGCTATGGTGTGGCTGTGCTATGTCTGAAGAGGGAGAAGACGTGAGGGGGAGGATGCGTGCCTGTATGGGTTTGATTTTCTTAGCAGAAGATGATTTGATTTCCACAAATATATGATATTGTTTAATAGATAATCATGGTCACTGGATGGAAAATAGTTCATCCTGGAAGCAAACAAACTTGGGAATGGATGCAAATAATTTGCATTGCAAATCCTGGTGGAAAAAAGTTTGAATCATTACAACTCAAAATTGTAGATCTACTGTATATTGTTACATATAACTAATATTTCTATTCTGGTAAGAACTTCTTTCATAGTTTGGAGTGGCAATGGCATACTTTCTTCAATCTTCATTGGAATCCCCATCTGTGAAAGACTTAAAGCTTTTTAGCATGTGAAGTGATGTGACATCAGTAATATTATTGGAAATCAAGTGTAACGGGTCACATGTCTCCAGCATGGGGCCCTAAAGCTATTACTGGGTGTAGCCTGAACACCAAAATTAGATGCACCCACTCCCTGGACATGAGCATATGTGTCAAATCATTATTCAAATATCAAATCAAATATTTCATTTTGCTGTAAAAGGCGACTGTGCTTGTTGTAAGATTTGACTAACAGGATTGGGTGGTCAGGCTCCCTGACTTGGTCGATGCATATCATCATATCCCAATTGTGTGGATTGACGCTTATGATATCAATCACTGGAATGCCTGGTCCAGACTCGATTATTCACAGACTGATGTCATATAGCTGGAATATTGCTGAGTGCGGTGTTAAACAACAATTAATCAATCAATCAATGAGGTTGCCAGACTGTAGACAAATGTCTTTCTTACCATGTTTGGACATGGGAGAAACTGAAACATTCCTCCTTTACCGTGCCAGCATCTGCAGGTGTTAGGTAGAGATGCATTCCTCCTTTACCATGCCAGCATCTGCAGGTGTTGGGTAGAGATGCATTCCTCCATTACCATGCCAGCATCTGCAGGTGTTGGGGAGAGATGCATTCCTCCATTACCATGCCAGCATCTGCAGGTCTTGGGGAGAGATGCATTCCTCCATTACCATGCCAGCATCTGCAGGTGTTGGGTAGAGATGCATTCCTCCATTACCATGCCAGCATCTGCAGGTGTTGGGGAGAGATGCATTCCTCCATTACCATGCCAGCATCTGCAGGTCTTGGGGAGAGATGCATTCCTCCATTACCATGCCAGCATCTGCAGGTGTTGGGTAGAGATGCATTCCTCCATTACCATGCCAGCATCTGCAGGTCTTGGGGAGAGATGCATTCCTCCATTACCATGCCAGCATCTGCAGGTCTTGGGGAGAGATGCATTCCTCCATTACCATGCCAGCATCTGCAGGTCTTGGGGAGAGATGCATTCCTCCATTACCATGCCAGCATCTGCAGGTCTTGGGTAGAGATGCATTCCTCCATTACCATGCCAGCATCTGCAGGTCTTGGGGAGAGATGCATTCCTCCATTACCATGCCAGCATCTGCAGGTGTTGGGGAGAGATGCATTCCTCCATTACCATGCCAGCATCTGCAGGTCTTGGGGAGAGATGCATTCCTCCATTACCATGCCAGCATCTGCAGGTCTTGGGGAGAGATGCATTCCTCCTAAAGCATGCCAGCGTCTTCATGTTCATCATCCAGTCTTTTGTTACAAGTACTACATATCCTGTGTACATTCACACTGATCTACTTGTCTTGTGTTACAGTGAAGGGGGAGGAGGAGGAGGAGGCCAAGGCCAAGGGTGGCAGAGGAACATGGATCAGTATGGAGGGGGACAGGGGAGCCGTCAGATGGGCGGCTACAGCAGCGGCTATGGCGGGGGCGCCCAGGGTTATGGTGGAGGCTACGGTAGCAGCTATGGTGGTCGTGATGGTCAGACACGGGGATACGGTGATCAGAGGTCCCAGCAGTCAGGACAAGACCGGGTAGGTGTTACATGCAGGAGTAATGGCTCTGAAGAAAATGGAACTTTTGAATAAGTTTGAATGTATGATGTCAAGGTTTCTACACTCGTTTAAGAAACTAATGTATTTCAGTGAAGTCTGATCGAAGGACATCAGGAAATACATTACAATACTGCAGATAATGTAAACTGCTTTTTTTGGCATTTGTCTAATCTGTTAATTTAAAAGATAATTCAATAAATTACGTGATTAACCTCATTGGGATTACTGTGCCTGTCAACTTACTTCATGTTCACAATGTGTGACTGTTGATTGTGAAGCATTGTACCAGCTATAGAAACTGACAGTGTTAGTCAACTAGTCCTTATTATGATAACATATAGCAACACCCTTAAAAGGGGAAAATTTCTACTAGTCCTTCTGATACCTTAACTATTGGACAGTTTGGCAAGGACTATAGGACTAGTGCCAATATCTAATGCTGATTGTACCCCAATGGAATGGTTTGTTGCTCTTTGTATCAACCGCTGGTTTGTCTGGCACTGACCTGCTCATATATATGTCGCTGTTATATTGCTAGAATATTTCTGCCTGCAACATTAAGCAACCATCCCCAACTCACTATTGCACAAGAGAGCATTGCATGTGAGAACATTCTGCAAACTGTATTAATTCGAACCCTAAAATTGATACAGTTTTACTTATTTTTGTCCTCAGTATCGACCGTACAACCAACAGCAACAATACCCACAAGGCAGTGGTAGCAGTAGCGGTAGCGGTAACTACAGGCGGTATTGAACCCAGACTGAGGCCAGATAGAGCTGACGTGTGTGTCTGTGGTGCTGGGTCTACATTCAGGCAGCTGAACATCAGTGTTGTAGACATCCTAAACAACAATCAATCATCATTGTTCAAGACACTTCACAACCCAAGGCTGACAGTTTCCAAAAGAATAAGTTGCCATACAAGTGTTTATGTCAACGTGGGGCTTTTGAAAGATTTTTTTTAAAACATCTGCACATTCTGTATTTATGAAAAGTGTGTGTTTAGAGGAAATCTGTTAAGCACTGCTGGAAAATCAGTTAAGCTGTTTATCAATGACATAGTTTACTAACACTGCACACATGGCAACTTATTCGGATAAATTGAAAAATATATCAATCTGAAATATGTTTTTTGTTTTATGTTTATTCCCATCTGCTGACCAAGATTTTTCACAAAAAAACATCTGTAAACAAGAAATAAAGGTCCTGTTTTCATGGAACCACATTTGTATTTTCAGGGACTTTGTGCTTTTCTGCTGAACGTTTAGCAACTTTGATATGAAACGTTTTGTTGGACACAATAGTTTGAGATTACATTATCCAATGCTACTGCACCTGGTCAGTCCATTAATGGTTGCCTGTCATGGTCCTGACTTTTACATGTAAATAGGTGTGTATGATATCCACATAACTGATGAAGAACATGTACATAGCTTTCATAAGGCCAAGAAAAAAGTACTTGTTTCAGCTGACATGATCCAACAGTTATGGGTTGGTAGGTAGGTTTGTTTTTAATTTAATGTTTTCATTTTTAATGATGTGTAACGCGGATGGTCTGTTTAGAACTGATGTTAGTTGCAATGTTTATCAAATTTGTAGGTCAAAACAGCTGCAGCAACGATAATATGCAGGATCTACTCGTTTCCAGTCTTAAGTATGTTTTTTTTTACAGCTGTTTCCAGCTGTGATAAAACACGTTTGGGTTGCATGTGAAACATTGGGTTGGTCGGGTTTTTGAAACACATGTAATTTTTTCATGAATTCATGTGCCATCATTTCATATTTGGCATACCCTGATAATGGAATAACATCATTTTTGTCATACCCTGATCATGAAATAACATATTTGTCATACCCTGATCTGGAAATACATGTAGCATCATATTTGTTATACCCTGATCATGGAATAACATCATATTTGGCATACCCTGATCATGGAATAGCATCATATTTGTTATACCATGATCATGGAATAACATCATATTTGTCATACCCTGTTCATGAAATAGCATCATATTTTGCATACCCTGATCATGGAATAGCACATATTTGTTATACCCTGATCATGGAATAGCACATATTTGTTATACCCTGATCATGGAATAACATCATACTTGTTATACCCTAATCATGGAATAGCATCATATTTGTCATACCCTGATCATGGAATAGCATCATATTTGTCATACCCTGTTCATGAAACACCATTATGTTTGTCAGTTGGTACTTGGTGAAGACTTTGTTGTTTTATGTTGGTACTGATCATTTTAGAAGTTTGCGTATATATTTGGTTACATGAAATGTTGTTATTTTAAAGAAACATACATTGCATTGAACATTTAGAATAAGTATGAAAAGGATATTGAAAGTTTTGTGTTGAGGGTTTTCCAGGCCAGTTGGGCAATAATAGATGACCAGACAACTTGGAAGAATTAATGGACAGTAAGAAACAGGGTTTAAGGAGCATGGAATCATGAAATTTTTGTTATGATATCCAGGCCTGAAATAATTTTGGAAAGTTTTTTGTTGTTGTAAAGTCATGGAATTATCAAGGAAAAGTTTAGTTATTAGCAGCTGTTTTTTCCTGGGGATGTATGGGTGACCGGCAAATAAATGCTTTGACCAAAGTGAAAAAAAGTTGACATAAAGTGAGTTTGGTTATATTTTTGTGTCATCTTTGCTGGTATTATGTCATAGAAAACTGGCACAGTAGTGACAATCCCATCTGTAAGTCATGGAAATTTGTTATGCTAATACTACATGAAACCTGGAGCATGAAAACGTTACGTATAAAATTAATAATTGAACTGTCAGGATATGATTTCAATTAAAAACTTGATTTCAGTACTGCTTTTCCACTGAGAAAGTTATTTAATAAATGCTAATAAATGCATAACAAGTCATTGTTGTTTGTTATCAGCATCCTTTAAATGAAACAAGGTACATGTATATAACTGCTCACACTAATTTGACTAGCCTCTTCTAACAATAAGGGAAAGATGAATGCAGTGTAAATTGCGTATTTCAGGCTTTAGTAGTTTTGATGAAATATTTGTCTTTGAGCACTATTTGCATCCCCAGACAGGTGCAATGATTACACCCAGGTTATGATTATGATGGCTGATTCCAATCTTGTTTAAATCCTAGACATTTGTTGAAGTTTGAAAACTCTAAATTTTTATGGTGGCTTTCTGTTATTTAGTAACTTTGAAAATGAAATCCAATTTCTTATTGATGAAAAATAATTGAAATAGAACATGTAATGAGTCAGTATTTATCATTATGTAAGTCTCATATAGAAATAAATGTTAGAAAATATATATTCAAATTGATATGTCACTGTAAGGAATATACAGGTTCTTTATTAGGAATGTGAAAAAACAATCTGTATTTACACTTTTTTCATTCTCATTCACAATATCAAGTCACTCGCATTCAATATCTCTTTCTTCAGAACTATACTTCTCAAAAGAAGTTAAAGAACACCCTATTTTTTCATATGACTAGTTAATCGATCATGGCTTGTTGCAACACATACTTCTAATTGTTGGCCCCGCCATGATATTGCTGGAATAATGCTAAAAGCAGAGTAAAACCATACTCACTCACTCACTCTAATTGTGGGTATTCATTAACTTGTTTTGAGGAGTGTAAATACGAAGTTAGTAAAGAAAGTGTTGAGCCACGTGGACTTCTGTTTCATGAGAGCAGGCACTATTTGATATAAGCATTTATGGCCTGTTTAGAGCTGTGACAAGAGGTTATGCTTGCCCGGTGTGTCAGAGGCTGGATGCTATCTTCGTATCCTGTGATTCATCCTTATTGCATTGTAAATATCAGGTGCAGAAATGAGTACTTAGCTAAAAACACTATCCAGTTTTATTTTCAATTCAATTCTCCAGTATCATTACTTTTCATGGAATATTTGTCTTTTTCTGAAAATATTCTTGCTTGCTTCGTTTAAAAAAACCATTTACTGAACTTGCAAATATGCCTGATTTTCATGCAATATGTTAACCACAATTGTCACATAATTTTGTTACAATAAGTGTGGGTCAAAGAATATTTGTTGCAAATAGTCTTGGGAGAAATGAGAAACTTAATAATTTATTCAACTCAGAACTCAAACATGCCATCAAAGTGTATAAGTGGAACAATATTGAACCAGTGTACTGTGATGTTAGAATTTAACATGACTTCCTTTCCTCAAACCGAATTCATTTGTTTTTGTATACAAACGTATGGGTAAGTTCAAAGTCTGAAAAAAATATCATTGTACTTTATGTTGTATTTTCGGACATTCAAATAAAAACTAACAACACCTGTCCTATATTTGTACTGTTTTTATACATGCATGATATGATGGTGAACAGCAGGCTAAAACGGCACCTCAGCAAAACGTCAGATTTCTCTGGCGAAAATGGCCTGCCCAGAAAATGAAATTGGTGCAAGGTGTTTTTCTTGAAATAGAATTCAGGTTCACAGTTTGAAATAAAAAAAATAATATCTGGTTTTGTAGCAGTAGCTGAACAAATATCTAATCTCGTACAAAATCCCATCCTACCCTCCCCCAGAATGCCAAATGATCGGTCCCAAAGCTCCGCCACATTGTGTTTTTTAGACGTCTATCAAAATATATGTCCAGCTAAAGCTTTGGGATCAAGGGGGTGTAATAAAATCGACGATATACTGTTATTTTCACTTTGATACATTCAGCATTGGACTTAAGTAGATGTTATGTATCGGTGGCCAGTGCCCGTCTGACGGCAACAGCGGGAGAAATACACACATGGCTTCGCAGCTAAAACAATACTTTCATATTCGATACGGCTTGTCAGCTGTGAGTGGCATCGTTGCACTGGACAATGAAATTCTACTTGTGATCTGGTTCCACCACAACTGACAACGTATTCTGATGTCCCAGATTTCCACCACCACAGATGACAGCCAAGCTGAACATTTTCACGAGACAAAAATATCAACTTGTGTAGGTAAAGCTTTATGTTATCTAACCAGAAAACATCACCGGCATCACGTTGAACTCGCTATGCAGTTTTGTTACTACCCAAAAGAAGTTAACCCCCATTTCGAAAGCTGTGTTGCTTTTTTCTTTTCTTTCTTTCTTTCTTTATTGTTTAACGCCGCACTCAGCAATATTCAAGTCTGTAAACAATCGAGTCTGGGCCCCTATCCTCAAAGCGATCTTAGCGCTACGATGATCGTAAGCCTATGTTAAAGTATGGGACTTACGATCACCTTAGCGCTAAGATCGCTTTGGGGAACGGGGCCCTGGACCAGACAATCCAGTGATTGACATGCGCATCGATCCACCCACTTGGGATACGATGACATGCATCAACCAAGTCAGCGAGCCTGACTACCCGATCCCGTTACTTGCCTCTTTCGACAAGCATGGGTCGCTGAAGATCTATCCTATCCCGGATCTTCACGGGTCCTGTGTTGCAAAACGACCAGCTATGACAGATTAACTGAAGTCATATGAAAACATCGGTGCTCTTTAACTTTTTATGAGTAGTATATTTTTTTGTCGCATAATTGGCGTTTCTTGTCGTAGTGTACAGTAGGGGTGACTATTGGTCTGGAAATCACTATTGCGATAACTATTGATATTGCAAGCAACTATTGCGATAAATATCGATAGTTTTCAGTGTATCATTGTAGATGGATTTTAGAGTTGAATTAAACCTTGGAACTGAAGTTTCCTATAAATGTGATAACCACAACAACAAATAAAAAGTAAAGTTTGAGATATGACTGATTTGTTTTTTCTTTACCCTGATAATTTAAGAAAAAGAAACTTCCACATTACCATGTGTAAATTACTACCACTCATGATCAAAAGAAAAACAAATTTGAACAGCATTGCATGTATTTCATTGATATGGTAAATACAATCGAAAC